TCCAATTAAAAATATTTTTGGTCTTGGGGTAGAAAAAAGTTTCTTTGCTATTATTGTTCTGGTAAATTCTGACAATTTTTCATAAAATAAAGATAAAATAACAAGCTCTTCTGTTAAATACCAAAGGTGACGGTTAATCAACAAAATCACAGCGGTTGCGATATCTGAATCTTCTTCTTGATACCAGTTCATTGCAACAAAAAATTTGAAGTAATCAACTAAAGCAAATACGGAAATCCTCGAGCGGAGAAATTGCACCGAATAAAAAAGACTAATAAACTTAGCCATGCGGTGGATCATAATTTACTCATTATTGGACATAATAAATTTATTAGATAAGAGTTCCATTTTTAAAATATATATAGAATGTGACATAAATCTCGCATTGTGAATTGCACATGGTTTGTGAATTTTGAATATTCTGTCCATTGATAGTTTTCCCCCAAGGTAGATAATAGATAATTCAATTAACTAAAGATAATCTTCTCACGGAAATATTTTATCTTCGAGGCATTGGTAAGCCCATTTCAGAACTAAACCTGCTTGATTAAATATTTCTGATTAAATATGAGTAGGCCATTCAATAAAATTAAAATTTGAGTAATCAATATCAATTCTAGAAAATAGCTTGGAAACGTTTAAAAATTGGTTCATTTGGACTTTTGCTACCTCTTCGTAATGCGGTAAATGCATGTTTGATGTATAGCTCATTATGATGATGGCGACATGCTAGCCATAGGAGAGGTCTCTTTAACTCAACTTCAATTAAAGTTGCTGCTTCTTTTTTATTATCTGTGTTGCTTGCTGTTGTATCAAAGCATATACCAACAATGTTTTCCAAAATGTTCCAATCTTGCGCAAGTTTCAAGGCCACATCACATTGAGTTTACCTGTCGAATCTTTAACCGAAGGTACACCAATAAGTTTCGGCCTGCAAATAAAAGTTAAGTTAGTTTCTTTGAATACAAAAATAAAAAATATACATAGGATTTATATAAATAAATAAGTACCCGTTAAGAGATCCACTAATAAGAACTGCTACACATACTTCATTATGAGCTATGTCTAAATGAAAAAGCTTCAAATCCCAGTGCAAAATGGCCGTTTTAGGTTTGTTTATCTCTCAGTCAGCTTTAATTGACAGAACAATATTCTCCCGTGCATTTTGTCTTTGAAAATGTACAGTTGATAATGACATAGAAATTTCATTAAGATTGTCTCCGCTTTTGCAGATGATAGTGGATTGAAATAGAAGTTGTTAGCGAACTGATAAACAACATCAATCTGCAACAGATCGATGCAACAGATCTGCAACAGATCGATCGAGTTGTTCATCACACAATTTGTTAAAGGCATCTTTCCTTTCTTTAGTGGTAACTTAACTCTGTAACTTTTTGATCTTCTTCATCAGCAATTTCAACCAATTCACTGACTTCAAAGGCACTCAATTTTTGATCTTTGGTTGAACTTCTCCGAAAATCTATGCTTAGTCTATCTTCTTGACGTTTTCAATATTTTGAAACACCTAGATCGATGCTACCTGTCATGTGACTTTCTGCTACTCTTTTGATCTTCTTAAAATGCCCAATCCTCTTTCCATTTTGGTCTACGTGATACTAACAACTGTTCATATGCATTTACTGCTGAAATGTCGCAAAGTTGCTCAAGTTCATTACAAAATCTGGCAATTTTTTCTTTTCCAGCTTTAACATCTCAATTTTTTTTATTTTTATCTTTCCACAAACAATTTGGTAAGCAATGAAAAACAAGAGTTATCTGATCGAATTGGTACTCCAGCTTTTTCCCAAACTTCCTTAAGCTCACCAAGAACAAGTTTAAAAATATCTCTTGCAGAAGTGTCACCTTTTGAATAAAAATGTAAATGAGAGTATCTACCCAATACATGTTTTTTTGTTGGTAGACAACTGAAACTTGATAATTTATTGGATTCAGGGTAACCAATTAACCAATCTTGATTATTTTTTCTTAGGTTCATCGTTACCATATAATACCAGGTGACCACGCAACTGCGTTATGCTCAAATTTAAGGCTGTATCCATGCTTGTTTATATCTGTGGATCTATTTGTTTACAAATTATGCAATGATATTAACACAGAAATAAAAAAAAACGTAAAAATTAAAAAAATTTAATTAAAATGGATCTGCAAGAATCAAAAAAACAAAGCATTCTGCAAATGTTGCAATCGGATAAGACTTCATCAGATATCAGAAAGGCTTTAAACTGCTTCAGAACAGCAATTTTTAGAGTAAGAAAACTTTTTCATGAAACAGGAGATATCAAACAACGTTTTAATAAGCCAAAACCTGTGATCACCTCAGCTTTTAAGGTCTGTCAAAAGAAAAGTTAAGCAAAATCCATTGCGCTCTATCCGTCTATTGGCAAGGGAAGCCAATGTTGCCAACTCCACAATGCAAAAAGTTATGAAAGATTTGAACCTTAAATCCAGAGCTGTTGTGACTAAGCATCTTATCACTAATAAACAGAAAGAAAGTAGGAAAGAGCGATGCAAAAAATTGTTAAACTGGCGAAAATCTTACCCTGGGCGTGTGACAATCTTCTCTGATGAAAAACTTTTCACTGTGGATAAAGTTACTAATCGTCGTAACACAAGGTACCTTGGTACTGTTAAAACAGTAAAGGAAGTCCCTAAGAATATCAGGTATTCATTTTCATCAAAAAAACCTGCTTCTGTGATGGTACTTGGCGTGATAGCAAGTGATGGAAAAAAGTGTCCACCAGTTTTTGTGAAAAAAGGTCAGAAAATTGACAGTGATAAGTATATCCACCTCCTGCAATAGAAGGTCATTCCGGTACGTATTTCATACTGGAATGTATGGGGCACCAGCTCATACTTCAAAAGACACAAAATTTTCTCAGTGAAAACATAAGTCAGTACTGGGACAAATTAAAATGGCCCCCATCTAGCCCAAATCTGAACCCATTAGACTTTTTTATGTGGACGGCTGTGAAAAAGGAGGCTTGCAAGATTCCCATGGAAGTACCGAGTCACTAAAAAAATCTATATGCAAAGCATTGGCCAAAGTTCCAGAAGAAGATGTCAAGAATGCATGCAGATTCTTCCAGCGGTCTATCCAACTAGTGTATGTTGCCAATCGTAGCCACATTGAATAATTTTAAACCTTAGTCATGAATAAATATCTAGTCAAAATTCTAGTCAGTTATGAATTGAAATGTTTTGTACGTTTTTGAATATTTGTATTTTGTATTCGCTTACCCAACTAGTTTTAAGATTGTTTTAAAATTTCAATTTTGCTAATTGATATAAGAACCAATTTTTTTGTAATAAGTTTATGAAATTTCTATACATAAGCCCAGATGTATATTTTGCAAACTATTTAATCACACAACAACTTTTAGTTGTCAATTATGCTCAAAACATAAATTATGTATTTTATTTAAGGTGAAGCTTTTTTAAAGCATTTAAGCAATTTTTTAGCAAAAAAATATGTTGCAAAAATAAAACGTTATAATTCAGCGACCTCTAGACATTAACCAATATTTTTTAAAATTTGGCCAAATGTTTATCTGATAACCTTTATTATACACACCAGGTAACATAAAATTAAATTAACTATTTTTAAAGTTATTCAAGTTTAAAGTTGAAAAAAGTGTACAAAACGCTATTTTTTCAAAATAGATCTCTAAATGACATTTTAAAATTTTGAAAATTTTTTAGGCCTTTTTTTGGCATATTATTTACCCCATTATGCATGTAATGTAACCATTTTCGAAAAATTGTCGGAAATGAAACACCCTAATGATACGAATAATGTAATATATATAAGTAATGTATATAAAATATTGATATAATATTTATAATACTTTTGTGTTTTGTTATAAATCATTTGCTTTTTTACGGAAACCTATGAAATATCATAGGTTTACATATATTATTTAACCAAAAACTAACTGCTGTGGCAAATAATGACTTCCAAACATTTGCTGCCTGTGTAATAAAATTGCTGATTTCTGGCATTTCGTTTAAATAAAAATCCTGATTTTTGTCATGTTATTAAAATCTGTTCAAATAATGATTTACCTTAAACATATTATGTACAAAGTATTAGACTGTTGTTTGTTGTGATAAAGGTAGTAGAGGTGGAGTAGCATTATTTCTTCACAATTTTATACAATTTATTATGGTGGATATACTACTAGAGCAAGGTGAGCTAAAAGTCATCCTTCTGATATACAGCTGAATGTCAAACATCTAGATTTTCTGAGTTGCAATGGTGGTAAAGTGGCTATTTTTTGAGCTGCAGTGGTGGTAAAGCTGCATTCCACTGAAAAAACTTTAGTCACACTGGGGAGATGTTAACTTCACTCAAAATAGATTGGCACTATCATCATAAACCAAACAGTGTTACATAACAATATTTTGTAACATTACATTACAATCAAAAAGCTTTAGCAAAGTCTAGCATTACATCTACAGATATACCATTGCTGATGCAACAAGAAATTGCCTAAAGTTTTTTAAAAAATTTGTAGTGCAAGATTTTCTTTTCGCAAATTAATGTTTTTGGGTTGTCAATAACTTGCTATTGTAAAGATATGTTTCATTCTTTCCTCTTTTAATAGATTCTAATATTTTGTAGGGAACAGATGATAATGAAAAAGGGCAATAGTTATGATGTTAGGTTTGCAAACTTGAAGTTTTAGACTATATTTTGAGTTATAAACTAGTTTCTTTTCAAATAAAAGTCAAGTATTATGTATTTTTATTGTAACTAAATTGCATAACAACTTATATTCTTTAGGCAGGTCAAAATTTTTCCATTTATGAGCACAATTTCAGTAATTTTTTTTTCTCCTTATTAATTGCTTGATATCGTTTAAATTCATATTTTAAGCAAGTGTTTGTAACTTTATTTAGCATCAGTCAGTTTGCAAATTTAAGAAGCAAATTTTTTAAATCCAAATTATATATATATATAAAAAAACTAATTTTCTTACTTCCCACATGTAACGGGTGTCAAGACTATCAACTAGAGTGTCTGGTGAAACTTTTTTTCCTTCAAATGGACCAAATTTCCTACCAATCTGAATCAATTCAGTGGCAAATACACCATAACCAGCATTTGGAATGAGACTTTTTTTAATTTCCAGCCCTTTTGGAAGTCGGTTTGCCAATGTCTTTTCTTCACTAATATTTTTAATGGCACCTTAATGACAAAATAAATTGATTATTTTAATAAATTTACTAATAAAATTGCTTCAAAAATTGTTTCCTTACAAAATCAAAATAAATAAAAAAATTATAAAAAAAAAAGTAATTTAAGTTTACTTTTTTCTTTGTGTATATGATTTCTTTTTGTATTTATAATTTCACTCTTTTTTATGTGTTGCATTATTTGTCACATATGTCTGAAAATATTGTGTAAAAGTTACAGATAGTACAATCACATATAATAAATAATATCTTTATACAATATACTACATATACATTTATTTTTGACCGCCATGGCTCAACATTACCTTACCAGGGCATACATTTTTTGATATATGTATACATGTATACATATACATGTATACATATGTATGTATACACACACCACATACACACTCATGCACACACACACACACACACACACACGCACACACACACACGCACACACACACACAAAGATGTTTAAATTAAAAATGTAAATTACATTTATTTTCTCATTATGCTATATGCTATTTGCAGTCATTAGGCACATAATCTTTACTTAAGAGTTAAATACTCTTTTTGTTGTTAAAAAAATATTCACATAAAAACAAAAAATATTCACATAACACACATAAAAAGGTGCTATATTGATACTGTTATACTAAAATATTGTTATACTAAAAAAATCTTCAGATTTGTATTTGCTTAACAGAAATTGTTTTATGCTTAACAGAAAATTTTTTTTCTTAACAGAAAATTTTTTTAAGTGACATTTTAAATGTCATTTAGAAATCAACTTGCATTTTTTATTCAGCAACTCTTAGGTTCTTTAAAGTAGAATGATTAATAATACAAAATATCAATATTTAGAAATAGCATACAACCATAGTAAATATTTCAAATGTTAATTCGATTTTGTACTTTCTCGCAAGCATATGGAGACATCGATTTCAAATTAATAGAACTTGATAAACTATTGGGAGTTGTTTAAAAGTATGCATAAATATTTGTTGTTTAAAAGTATGCATAAATATTAGAACTTGAAAAACTATTGGGAGTTGTTTTAAAGTATGCATAAATATTAAATACTTTTATATTGAGTTTACGTTTTTCACGTGCGCGATAATATCATAATCCAGGCGTTAGCAATTAATAGACCT